CAAAATATTAAGTTATTAAAACAAAAATTATTTCATATTATTTTAGATCTACAGGGGCTTAAATAATGTAGTGGTATGTTATTTTATGCTGCTGTGGCAACCACATACTTCAAGCATAGATTCCAATCATATTTTGAAGGAACTATGCTGGAAACATTGAGCAAGGGTCTCAGAATGAAACTTTCCCAGAGCTTTCTGCTTTATTTTATTCTGAGTATGGCCATTTTAATCTTGTGGTGGACAATTTACAAGGCATTAGCCAGCTAACATTGTGATTAGCTTAGCTTTTTGCTAAGCCACAATGTGGTTTGTTTGGTCTTCCTATTGTGTGTTCAGGTAGTTCTTGTTTAACAACACTAATTGGGATTGGAAACTTCATCATTAAGTGATGTGGTCATAAGTCGAAAAATCATATGATTGCGCCGCTTAGCAATGGTAGTTCTGGCAGTCCCGGTTGCCATCGTTAAGTGAGGACAACACAGGTTGACTGACTCCCTGCTGGTTTCCCCATTGACTTTGCTTGTGGGAAGCCAGCAGGGAAGGTTGCAAATTGTGCTCATGTGACTGTGGGGAAGCTGCAACAGTCGTAAGTATGAGGTACAGTCGTAACTACCACTTGTTCAGCACTGTTGTAAGTTCAAACAGTTGCTGAACGAATGGTCGGTAAACGAGAACTATCTGTACTTATCCATTCTGGTTTGTAAACTGTTGAGCTTGATGTGTGATTCCAGCCTGTTATAATCAGAGTCAGCAGCCTTGGCTTAGAACAGTGTGTAAATCCAATTTGTATTGGTGGATAGCATGATGTGATGTGATCAACACAAATTACATACTTTGTGTCATTTAGGCTATGATGTCATGATACTGTGACATTACTTGCCTCCCTTGACCCCTGTATGGACACCCATGGTGGATAATTTATAAAGCAATTTTCGATGTTACCCTGGAACTAAGAAGAGAAATAAACTCAGAATGGCCCCACCTTGATTCTCTTTAGTAAAATCATATATATAATTTGTATTAAAACTTTTAACCAAGAAGATAAAAACTAACACAAACTAATATAAAGTGAGGAAGAAAAACGAAAAAGAAATCAAAAAGTGAAAAGTGCAAGAAAAGAAAAGAAAAGAAAAGAACAGAAAAGAAAAGAAATCTTTTCTTTTCTTTTCTTGCACTTTTCACTTTTTGATTTCTTTTTCGTTTTTCTTCCTCACTTTATAAGATAAAAACTAACACAAACTAATATAAAGTGAGGAAGAAAAACGAAAAAGAAATCAAAAAGTGAAAAGTGCAAGAAAAGAAAAGAAAAGAAAAGAAATTTGTCTTTGTCTGAAATCTTCAGTAAATTCTGTTTATGCAAGTATTCATCCACTTTTTACAAGGAAATTTCTTGATCTTTGTATAAAGTAGTATAATACTGATGAAACACTTTTCACATATTCACATTATATGTTATTACAGTATTTTCTTCTTGTAACTTTAATATCACTTTCTTTTCTTTTTCTTTTTGCAGCTTGTATGCCAACCATCTCCCTGGTTTATTTGCAAATTCAAAATTTCTTTGTTTTACGTAGTTCATCTTTATTTCCATCTCTCTCATTGTTAGCATACATAATAGCCTCTGTAAAAGCTTAATTTGGTGAGTTATAGTTATCATCCCTGGAGATTTTTTTTTTAACTCTTCTTTTTTATCTCATCTAAAATAATTTGCATTTTCTCTTGCCTTTTCTTTTTAAATTTACTATTACGTTGTATAAAATATCCTCTTACAAAAGCTTTACTTGCATCCCAAACCATCTTTACTTCTGTCCCTTTATTAAGATTATTCTTAAAACATTCCTTTAACTTCTTTTTACAGTCCTCCACCACCATTTCTTTTTATAATATCATCTCATTCAATCTCCACCTAAAAGATTCATTTTTCCTCTTAAAAGTTAGTCACTGGATTATGATCTGAAAATGTCTTTGGTAATATCTCTACTTTATAAATATTATTATCCAAAGTCTTAGAAATCCAAATAATATCTATTCTTGAAAAAGAACTAGGTCTTTCAGAAAAATAAGTATGTTCTTTTGAGTCTCCATTTTTATGTCTCCATGCATCAACATGCTCCAAATTATCCATTAAATTAAAAAAAAAATCTTTTGTAATTTACCCTTTGTTATTTTAATATTTTTCTCAGAAGTTTTATCTTTTTGTGGGGAAACTATTCCATTCCAATCCTCCAGGAGACACCACTTTTCATATGTAAAATCCAAAAGTTTACCCATAAGTCCTTTGTAAAATGCTGTTTTAACTTCATTTTGGGCATAAATTCCCAATATCAAAATCTTAGCCCCCTGTAGAGTAACTTCTACCTCAACATATCTGCCATAATCATCAGTCAAAATATATTTTGGATATAGTTGGGGAT